GAGCCTTCCCTTTTCTTGTTTGGCCCGATTCGAGTGCCGTGGGGGATGGGGTGATCTTTTTTCTCTTCTCCTCTCTTCTCTGCCTATAAACAGAATTTCTTTTGGAATTTTGGGGTTGTTGAAAAAGTTTGCAAAAAAAAAAAAGTATAAATTTTGGCTGGAGGAGAGGAGTAGAGATTTTTGGCTGTGAGAGGAGTTTACGCGGCGATTTCTGTGTTCAAGGAGGAGATTTCTGCGAGGGCATCTCGAGATGTTTTCTTATGTTGAGGTGCTTTACATTTGCATTAAGAAGGTACTCTTCTCCCCCCCCCCCCCTTCCCCCCCTTTCTCAGTGCTTTGTTTACTTTCGGTAGTCTCTCTGCCGAGCCTTTGAACATGGCTTTGTTGGATGATAAAGCATGCTAGTTCACTTTATATTCATATATTTTTGAGATATTCACTTTAGGGGGCATGTGAAAGATGAAATGTGAGCATGTGTTAGAAATTAGACTTGGGTATTTGCTTAAAGTGGTGGATATATGGCATGTTTTCTGTTTATCATATCATATTTATGTTGGCAGCGATTTGGATAATTAAAGCATGGCTTTGGAATAATTTCTACTCCTTGCAAGCATGTTGGGATGTGTATTGTGAAACTTTTCATTTATCTTTCGTTTAGCATGAGATATTGATGAATTTATTTGGTCTTTCATGCATGCTAGGGGGTTTCGGCTTTGGCATCTTAAGGCTTGCTCTTGCTTAAAATGAATGCTAGAGAGTTCACTTTACTTTTTATACATATGTGGGGGCTCGGTTTAGCTCCTGCGGCTTTCCCTTACTTGAAATGTGTGCTATGAAAAAATCTATTTAATTTGGAAAGCGTTGTAGCTTGTTTTGAGGGCTTAGTTTAGCTCCTCGTGAGGCATCTCCCCAGTTCAAATATTTGTTGGAATTGTTTCATGCTTGGAATATTTAGACATACAGGTTGTTCCTTGGCTTTGGATGGCTCGTTTTTACCTTAAGACGGCTGGGACTTTAATTTCTATTAAAGCCTGAATTTGTATCAATGTTTGGGTCTTGTTTTAGCCTTGTTGGGCTCGTTTTTGGCTTGGTTTGGAGTCTCGGTTTTGGCTTGAAATGACTAGAACTCTATTTTTATGGAGGCCTAGATTTTAATGTTGTTGGATGTGGTTTTGGTGCTTCTTAAATTCGGTTTTGGTCCCTGCTAAGCTCGGTTTTGGCCCCTGCTGGGCTCGATTTTGGCATCCCACGGGTGCCTTAGCTTAAATATACAAGTGATGAATGGATTGATGTTGATTTGGAAGAATTTCATGGTTGCTCTTGTTTAAAACATGTGTTAGTTCTATATTTCGATGTCTTGAGGGTATGCAGATGTTTTCTATCCTTTTGTTGTAACCCGAATTCGAACCTTAGCTGGTGGCTCGGTCTTGGCTTGACTTGGGAGCTTGGTTTGCTTGTTTTAGCTCCTACTCGAGAGCCTATGATTGATTCCTTATACTTGTCTTTACTCGAGAGTATTGGTAGCTTGCTTTGCTTGTCTTTGTCCCTTTACCCGAGAGCTTGTTGGGTGGCCTGTCTTGTGCATTTTTCTGCCCCTACTCGAGAAATGGCTTTGGTTATGATTTTTGTTGGCTCTAGTTGAGAGCTCGGTACTTGCCCTTACCCGAGAGGACCCGAGAGGTGGTTTGAAGGTGGTTTTGCTAGCTTTGGTTCCCCTACTCCTACCCGTGAGACCTATTGGAATTTCTTGAGTTTAATTTCCCCCCCTCTCTTGTTGAGTTTGAATCATTTGAATGATTGTAGAAGGATCAAACTTGTTACTTTGAGAGATTGGTGATGTTTTGTACTCTCCTATGTATATCAAAACTTGTATGGAATTGATTTGGGTTTGCCTTAGCCGTGAGCCTCACTTGTTGT